TAGGACGAATAGTAGCGGCGAGAATAGTAGGAAGCTCGGGGCGTTTTAAAAACTAAAAACGCCTGTATGGCCAGGAGCTCCCGTCAGGTCAGCATCCTCATCTCGCAGCGCCTGCGTGGATGGTCGCCTTGGGCCGTTTCAGTTATATTTTTCATGGAAAATAGAAATAGCTTTTCATTTTTATTTCTGAGTTGAACTTTGATAATTAATATAAAATGATATAGGTGTCTAAAAATTATGAAATAAATTTTGTTAGGTTTCTAAAATTATGAACTATCTGCTGGTATATTTGGTTCACATAGTTTTATAATATTTTCAGGAGTTATCTAATTACTTTAAGATGCTTAATATTGTAAGATATAAACTTGTAGGAATTTTTGTGATGAATTAGTGATAGTGTTGGTTCTAAAACTTTTACAGTAAATCCCTAACATTATTAGGTGCTTACTGTAATTTTTATAACTCCATAATAATTAGTTTGCTAAGGTAGCTAAATGAGCCCTAGTTCGAAAATATATATTTAATCAATAAAATGCTAAAGCACCTTAGGATTTTAAAACTAGAATATTTTTCCGAAGACAGACTTACTTGACGACGTGGATACATAGACCAGTACGTTACTCATTAAATCTGGCCCATTAGCTTGCGGAGTGTAATCATATATTTAAGTGTTGCGGTTATCGTTGATTAATTGCGCTTCTGCGTTGTATCCACGTATATCATAATAGGAACAACGATGGATCATGGAGTTGACTGAAGTAGCGGGAAAGATGATGCCTTGATGATCGTGTCACTATGATGGAATGCAAACTTTTGGTTATATCTTACCCAGGCAAGCCTCGGTGCATAACCCCAATTATTCTGCACTTTATTTTATGCTTCTGCATTAAGTTTTAAGGAGTTGGATGAAAACCACTTGCATATATATATCCTTATCCTATGAGTCCTATTAGTATGTCAGGATCATGTAGATTGCTATGCTATAGGATCCGGTAGAAGTCGAGTGATTACTTGTTACTCGCGAGAGATAGGAAAGATATTATTATTGTTATTATATTACTGTCACATGGAATATATATATATGAATGATAATTGGAGACCGGGTAAAATGGTACTTTGGATCTAGACCTGGTTAGGTATTCGAGCGAGGCTCGGATTGCACTTGTTCCGCCTGTGTCGATTGAGGACCGTCCGTTGCTGTGGATGGTAGTCAGGTCACAGACTGATTATCCTGAGCACATACTTGCTTATGGGAGCAGAAAGGCTCGTTGCTATCTTATCGTGGGTTCTAGCTCTTTCCGGACCGACTGATTGGAGACGGGGATAGTGGAGGTCTAAGCACCACACTGAGTTCAGGACTCAGGAGTTGGGGCTTGGAGTCCAAATTTGGACGGGGATCTGGACCCCTTGACAGGAGAGTGATGGGTTGGTCTTGCTTGTGCCTGGGGTATAAGTGGGACGTGTATTTTGGGGTACCCAGTTAGGATACATTGGTTCGCGAATCACCATGTGATGCGGGACGACTTGGCTATGGTGTAGCACCGTAGTAAGAACTGTAATATGAAAGATGATAAAATGGTTCTGATTGCTTAACACCTGCTTGAAAGTAGCATAGGTGCTTACATAGAATGGTTATTTAATGAACTAACGATGACTGCGAATAAAATTGAATATAAAGACGCACGTTTAGTAATGCTTCCGCAGATACAATAACTCACAAGCTAGATAGCCTTACATATCCTTGGAGTCTTTTATTTTCCTCCTGTCGGGTAAGTCTTGCTGAGTACAATCGAGTACTCAGGGTTTTATTCCTCTGTTGTAGGTGATCGGAGGATACTTAGAGCTGACTCTTGTGTGTGGAAACCTAGTGGGTTCAGAGAGGATTCCTTTCACGCTACGACCGTAGTGTTTATTTATAACCCTCACAAAAGGTTTTTATAAAAAAAGATGTAAAATCTGCTAGCAGCTCTTGTATAAAAATGTCCACTATGTTAATGCTCTACCATGTCATTAAATTAATCCTGCTTTCTCTGTAACTCTGATATCATTGTTATATTCCACTGTTATAATAAATTGAGGTAATATTCTGGTACTATAATAAAGTAATGTAAGAAATGACTTAAGAATGTTGTAAGCTTTATTCTCTCATTTATGATCCTGATGGGAAAATATAGATTTTTGAGTTCTCCCTTGGGGTGTGCTCGACGGAACTGCGTAGTTTAGTGTCATATCTTGGGTACTTAGTGTCTAATGGAAGACAAGTACTCCTGGGAGGCATTAGATTAGGTGGTTCTGCCACATTGGCGAACACGTGAACCTCAGGATAAAAATCACCGTGTCAACCTTGTTCGTCCAATTGGTTTGCAATCCCTTTACACAAGCTTATATTTACTTATTTATTTATATATTGTGCTTATGTAGTTGCTCTTGTAATTAGTTAGCCTGTGTAGCTTGCTAGTTACCTTCTTACTTGTGTAGCATAGAAGTAGCTCTCTTGTGTAACTAATTTGGCTTGAATAGCCTTGTTAGTCACATTGCTTAGTTTGTGTAGCTAAATATTTTGCGCTCTCTAATTTGACTTGTGTAGCCTTGTTAGTGAGCATTGCTAGTGAGCTTATGCTTTGTGCTTTTACATACTAGCATGTATAGGAGCTCTCCGGTTGTTTGAGTACTAGTGGCATAGGTGTGTGTGACCTTGCATACTAGAATTGTTTAGGTGAGCTCTAGCTAGCCCGGTACCTTTGTTGCATAATTAGAATCTTTTTAAGATGCTTGAGAACTTAGAGAGGTGTAGTCTTGGTTAGATCGATAGTTTTAATTCTGCATTTATCTCGGTTAGCCGGCGCAATTAATTTTAGAAAGGACTATTCACCCCCCCTCTAGTCCGCCATCTCGACCCTACCGTTTCTCCATGGCGGCTCTGATAAAGATGAGGACGACAATTGCAGCACCAACAACTTCCTCAGCATGACGACATGGAGACATAGGTTTCCGAACTAAGACATCAATGCAGAGATGATGTTGCCGCCATAGAATAATTTTCTCCGGTCTTTTTTTCGTTTTGTTGTGATTAGATCTTACCACAAGGAAAGACTTGTGAGAATAAGTCTACCCCCTCGAGCCAATTACTAGTATTGAGTTGGGAAGATTCGGATAAGTCTTCCTTATTCTTGGGTGGAAGAAAGAAGAAGGAAGACACAAGAAAGAATAACCTTCTCAACCCCGTCTGTAGGAATGTTGGCCGTTGTTTGTTGGCCATTCTCAGGCCTTTTATCGAGTCTTTGTCTGTGCGGTCATCCATACGATCGTGATACAAGTTTGAGATTGAGATTTGGAGCTACACAAAACATGGGTACAATATAGATGAGATTAGTTTCTGGATATACGTATTGTATTCCAGAATGCTTATAACATGATGTACTCAACTATAATATAATATAATTCTTCTTTTATTTAAAAAAATTTATACAAAAGTCTTTGCATGACTTTCCAAAAAAGGAAAAGCATAGTAAATAAAATTTTCTGAAAACAAAAATTTGGAGGGGATAGGGGTGGAGGCTGATTGGACAGGTCGGAAATCGCATGCGCGCGAATTAAGGCCCCACATAAACATGCACTTGCCACCCCTTGGTTAGTCAAAATAATAATACTAGTAAACATACACTTTCGCGATGAATGTGGTGGTATGGTGATGTGGCATTGTGGCAATAATGGCACTGCCGATGGTGAGCGCATGGTGTAAACCTCATCCTAGAAATCTATCAATTTTTTTTATAAATTTTCCTCTCCAAACAATCGTATCTCTTTCCTTCACTTATTCGTGACTTCACGCCACGTTTGAGATTGGGCTACGAGTCATTGTTTCCTTTTCATCTCCTACATGTGCTCTCCCGTCTCCCCTACCGGCTTAGCCCATTGGAGCCACAACTTTCCATATATAATAACCACTCCCCCACGACTCCCCCACAAACTACCCTTGCCCAACTAGCCGGCTTTTGGTGCCCTCGCCGCCTCGCTCCCATGACCATCACCAACGCCGAGACGGCAACCTTCTCAACCATCTCTCTAGACTCCGCAGCCCCCAAACCTCAATCTGAAACCCTAACCTTATACATTACTGGAGTTCATGGAGGTCGCCGGAGGCAGAGCAGTAGTTTAGGAGCACGAATCTCATTGATAATCAGGAGGCTAGGAATTCAACAGATTTTCTCAATGAAATCATTTGACCCATAAGTAGCACAATTCTTTGATTTTGCGAGGAATGTCGATGACAGTCGCATGCACTTACTAGAACCTGAAGATGGGAGAATAATTACCATGTTATTGTGGACTATGATGAAGATGGAACAAGTTGTGTGGCTCAAGGTTGTCCCTAAATAAGAGGGCATGCACCAGCGTGGGATTGCCGCTCCCACGCCTAGCCTCTCATTGTCAGCAAGTAGAAATTTCTTTAACACCCTCTTCTGCTTGATATGGTATAGCCCCACCCAACATGTCCTGCTGTCTCCTAGAAGAATCACATCCTGCCCTGCTGCTTCCACGTCGGCGTTCACCGCCCAACATGCATGCTGCAACGGTGCCGGCAAATAAACCTGAAGACGACGTGTCCAGCTCTTGTCACCATTATAGTCCTCCAGCACCGAAAGGTGCATTGAACCATCGAGAAAATCCGTCATGGCCAGCATCCCGTCCATCTCCAGCAGGAAGAACTCGGCGACGACGTCCCTCCTCCTCAGCGGCGGGCGGGAGATCCGCCGGAACGTCTCCGACACGGTGTCAAACGCCAAGATCTTGTCCTTGTCGTCGTCTCCCGCCGCGATGAGGTGCGGCTGCACGTTCTCATCTGTCGAGAAGATGACCCGGGGATGGCGCAGCCAGTGAATCTTGCCGCGATGGTTGAGGGAACAGATGGGCTGGTCAAGCCACAACCGCATGACGGGCAACGCTTGTCCCAGCCGCCGGGCTTGGGCGGCTTCGAGCGAGTAAACGTAGTGCGATCCCTAGTGGTCGTTCGTGAGGCACAGCAGGCGGTGCTCGCGGGATGGCCCGTGGACGTAGAAGCCGCAGGGCAGCGTGAAGGTGCCGGCGAGACGAGGCAGCACTGCCGTCCACTGCCAGGTTACCGGGCTGCAGACGCAGGTCAGATTCGCTGGTCCAACGAGCCATATTATTTTAACGAAAAAATAGTGTTTTTCTCTCGTGACAAATAAACCAATAGAATAGTATTTTGGGTGATAGCTTTTCAACAAAACGATCGGGGCCGTAGTAGCTGCCGCCGCCGCGACCTCGCTGGAACAGCAGGAGCCCGTCGCAGGAAGCGATCAGATAGTAGCCTCGCCAGCAAGATTCCTTGGGGTACTCAACGTCGAGGCACCGGCGCTGAGGCTCGTCAAGGGCGGCCGCCGGGATGCTTTCGAGCGCGCCGCTCGGACCGTGGCGTTGGAAGATGAGCTCCAGCGGGCGGCGGCGGGCGTGGGCGGCGGCGAAGGCTGGGCTGCTGGCGATGCGGCGCCACGCCCTGCAGATGGCACGGGAGCGGAGAACGGCGGCGGACGGGAGGCGGAGCAGGATCTCGGTGACCACGTCGTCGTTCAGATTCAGATCTTGCGGCGCTGCTTCTTCCGGTTGAAACGCCATGATCGCCGTTAGCGGATCTTGGACCGATTGATTTCCTTTATTATGCTACGGCCTGGTACATGTACGCGTATATATAGATACGTCCACCAGGAGCTAGCACACGTCGCAAATCCGGACTCCCTCCCTCTTTCATACGACACAACCAATTTTCCCTTTTTTTTTGTAGCAGTTTTTTTTATTGAGCAAGATTTTTTTTAAGCCTGCTGTGCCTCACGAGCGACCACCAGGGATCTTTTTTTAGCAGTTTCAGGGGTTTCTTGCCAAATGGAGGACCAGGCTTCGACTGCACCGCCCCAGCTGGCGTCTCCACTCCGATCGATCCGCTAGATTTAGCCCAGCTAGAGCCCACACTAAGCCCAAGCTCAAGCCCAAACCCACGTTTCCGAGCAGTCCCCATCGTCACGCTCGCGTCAACCTCCTTCTGCCGAATTCCCCATTCGCTCACTTAGCTGAACGCCGATCCACGCTACGACGCGCCATGCCGGCCGCCGCCGCCGCCGCGCCCGCCCGCGCACCGCATCCACCGCCGGCGAGCCTGGACGCTCGCACGGGCGGCCGCATCCTGCGCCGCGCGGCGGGGTATCTCCTCCACCCAGCCTCCCTCCCGCCGCTCCTCCTCGCGGCGCTCCTCCTCCTCCTCTTCCGCTCCGCTCTCCTGGCCGGCACGCTCCGCCTCGCCTCCTTCGCTGACCGCGACCCGGCCCTCCGCTCCCTTCTCGCCCGATTCTCCCCTCCCAACCCACCATCGCCGCCGCCTCCCCCGCACCACCTCCCGCGGCGCCGCTCACCGTTCACCTCCCCCTCCTCCTCGCTCTCCGACGACGATATCCTGGTCAGCCCCCTCGATCCCGCCGCCTCAGCCCCCTCTCGCCGCCGCAACACCTCCAACTACCATGTCCTATTCACCTCCTACTCCGCCGCGCCCAAACCCTATCCGTTGCCGCTCCCCAACCCGCTTCCGGCCTCCACTTCCCCCTTCTTCCTCGCCGTCTACAATGAGACGGCGCCTCCGAAGCCCGCCTCACCGCGGAGCAGCGAGCTCGGCCTACTTGACCTGACCAGGCGCGACGCAGCGGCCATCATCAACCTCATCGCGCTGCTCTCCTCCGCGCATATCTTCGCGATCCTCGGGTACATCGCCGTGCACTCCGCCGCGCTGGGCGCAGTGTTTGCGTCCGTGGCGGGGCACCACGTACCCGGGCGGCGTCTACTGTTCCTCCTCACCGGTGCTGCGAGGGGCGCTAAGAGACTCACATGGTTCGCGTTCCTCCGGTGGGCCACGCGGGACGCCATTGTGCTGATGATCTGCCTCTGGTTCTTTGCTGATGTGCACGACCAGGCCCAGCTGTTCAGGCTCTTTGTGGTCGCCAAACTCATGCCATTCTCCGCGGCTGTTAACCCGTGGCTTGGTGCAGCAGTTGCAGGCCCAGAGCTCGATGGTTTCTTTGTTGCCTGGGCTGTTCTTGATGCAGTTGTATCGGTTTTGTTCACTGTGGTGCCTTGGGTGGTTGTCATGGACCGTGATCCACGGCCACCTGGGCGCAATGCTGTGAAGGAAGGGTGCTATCTTGTGTCTCTGATGCCAACTGATGCCACATTGCTCAAGTGCTGGGAAACAGTTGTGTGTGGCAGCATGGGGCGGCTCATCATGGTGACATTTGGTGGAAGGGTTTTTGGTGGATTTCTGCATTCGATTGCGCAGGTTTACTTCATGGTAGTATGGCTTCTGTTCTACTTTGCAGCAAGGTGTAAGGAGGTGCGGCTGGGTGGTCGTCAGTTTGGACTGGAGGATGTTGCAGCTGCTCTAGATGGATTTAGGTAGTGTCCAGTTGTCGGTTGCCGCTTGGATCATCATTACTTGAAGAGAGGTATATTTCATGGCCCATAGTGCTTATTGATGGAATGCTGCTGGTCTTGGCAAAGCAGAGGTTTTTGTAATTATCTTGATCTTCTAAATCTTGCTGAGATGGTAAATGATTCGGATGAGAGAAAGAGAACTTAGACAATGTTGTATGTACAGTTTTTTCCTCAGAGGGGTAATCTGCTTATAGTCACCACATGGCATACAAAGAAAGGCTGTTTGGTTCCCCTTTTCCATGGAAGGTTAGAAGCAAGATGCCTGGTAATAGGTGTTGTAGCTACAACATGATTTGTGAACTTTATATACCTGTGTTGTGCCAGCAAAATTTCTCTGGGTAATAGGTCAAAACATGTGATGTACATCCAATCATGGTTATACTTTGTTGATATCCACCCTTCTGTTTATAAAAACCTTCCAAATCCCATCTCATAACCCTCTTGTAGACGTGGTTGGCTCATGATTGAATTCCTCTAATAATGATTACTTTTATCTGATTGATGTATAATACACGATCATAATGTCTCGGGCATTTTATTTATGGCCAAGGGCAAAAGTCCTGGACCAGTAAATGTTTTCATGTTTGCCTACATTTTTTGGTCACCTTGCTAATTCATACCACCTGTTCTGTATCCTTTATTCTGCCGGTATTTTAAGCAACAGTTGATCGATGGACCTAAAATTGGCAATATAAAACTGGAGGTTAGAAGGTACATGCATATTTTTGGATTGATTGTAAGAGTATTGTCACGGTAATTACAACCTTGTTGGCCCTTGCAGTTGATTGTGCAGCAGCTCCCCTGTCATGTCTGGGTTCGGGACACTATTAACAAATCAGTTGACCGAGCCCAAACAAATAGGTGGTCTTTATTATTTTGTTACAGTTCCATTTTGGTTTGTGCATATTCAAGTTTATACATGACTATACATTTATGTAGATATATTCAGAAAATAAGATTGACTTAAAAGATGATATTTGACTGACCTATTATTTAGAGCTTATTTATGGTTCTTTATTTCACCAAACAAGTGAGTTGTGTTTTATTTGCTGTGAACTCATGTTCTGTGCCTTGTGTGCAATAATGTAATTATACTATACCACAAGTGTACGTAAACTGATATCTGAGGCCCTGAGCGTTGGCCCCCTTTTGTTTGTGCTGGTTCATCACCTGTATGCATTTAGTTAAGGTCGAAGCAATGTGTCAAATGCAAGACAGCTATATATTGCTACTAGTTACGCTCCAGTCATGTTCTTTTTTCCCTTTGCATATGTCCATTTCCCTTTTATTACTCTGTTAGATTGATTGACCAGCTACTGCTAGGCTTTAGCAATGCATGAAAAGACTACAAGATGAGTTTTAGGCCGCCCTAAATGTGACAAAATATTTGCTATTTACTTAAATTTTATTAGTTGCACTTTTATCATGTGGTTTCAGCCTTCCAGCTGGAAAATTATGTACTCACCTGCATCATATACTATGAAGAATCGATTATGCAAAGGCAAAACATCACATATCATCATGCTGTTTCTTTTTTGACTGTTTTCTTTTATGTAATGACTATTGATGCTGGCATTTCATGTTCAGAAACATAAAGAGAGCTCCCTCTTGTCAAAGATATTTGACACATTTGACTTGCATGGTTTTCAATGCATATCTTTGACCACTAATTTTTTCTCATATATTCTTAAAATCCTTGAAGGGCGGGCCTGGTGCAAGCAGTAGAGTTTTACCGCCTGTGACCGGAAGGTCCCGGGTTCGAGTCGCGGTCTTCTCACATTGCACAGGCGAGGGTAAGGCTTGCCACTGACACCCTTCCCCAGACCCCGCACAGAGCAGGAGCACTCTGCACTGGGTACGCCCCCTTTTTTATTCTTAAAATCCTTAAGAGATTTTGCAAGTATGTTGAATCCAAATCTACACATATAGCTTACATGTTTCCAAACTAAATAATGTAATAGTTATTGATGTTGGTAGTTTTCAAGGTTTGACCAACTCTTGCCCTAAACAAGATTTTTGTGGCCGGAGGGAGTAAATCATAGTCTAGTTTCAATTAAAACACTGCTATTCACTCTGTACCACTTGTTAAGATGCTACTCAGAACGATATATTTACTTTGTCTAGGTGGACTTTGGTATAGTCCCATATCTGAAGTCCAGCGCAGCATTTGTATGTTTCTCTCACTTATGTGGGAAGCAAAATGTTTCTGCCCAACCTTAGGTTCATGAATTGTTAACTCTTCTGTGATGAAATGGAATTGGTATTTGTTTCACAGGTACTATGCATTTTTTTTTGAGGAGCAAGAACCTGGCTACGAGATGACAAATTGACAACCTTGTCCAGCCACTGATCTTGCCTTGTGTATTTTTTGTTAGTACAGGGTTCCTGTTGCCCATGTGTTTCCTGTTCCAGAACTCAAAAGTCAAAACGTTGTGTGGTAATAACATGCCGAGTTCATGTTTTTAGTGGCATTGTCACTGATCTAGTTTTTAAGTTATGTCAAGCTTACCTCAGTACACTCAGTGCCCTGTTATCAAAGAACTCTGTTGTGAGACTATCGACAGGCAAAAACCAAGAATTGTACTGCTGATCTATTTTGTGGCCGTTGTCCGGTGCTTATCTGTACTCTGCTTGTTCGGGGAGCAACGTTTCTCCAAATCAAGGACGATCATCGATGGCGCTAGCCACTGCTTAAGGTTGTCTACGTCCACACCTACTCAGCTCGTGGTCATCATGATCATGTAGGTAAGTGAAAGAACTAAATGGCCCAAGAGGAGGGTTAAATTAGGCTCTGAAAGTTTAGTGCAACTAACCTTAGCCTATGCTATTCTACTCACCCCTTGCATGGTTGAAACATAGAACTAAAAGGATCACATTAAGGCCCCGTTTGGCAGGGCTTCTCCAGCGGCTTCAGAGCCGTTTGGAGCCGTTTTCTGCCAAACGGGGTAAAATGAAACGGCTTCACCGATGAAGCCTCTAAAAACGTGCTCTCACAGAGCTTTGGGGTGGGAAGGAGCAAAAAATAGTGGCTTCTCCCGGCTCCTCCTCCAGGTCCCAAAAAACATGCTTTCACAGGGAAGTCATTTTGCCAAACGGTTTATCAAAACCGCTTCAGCTCCACCGGTGGAGCTGTTCGTAGAGCT